TTTAGTGCTCTGCTGGTCCTCCCCACATACTGAATCCCGCAACCGCAAGTTAAAAGATAAACTACATTAGTTGTGTTACAACCAATGTGTTCATTAATTCTAAATGATTCGCCTGTTTTATGACTAATAAAATGCTGTGTTTTTTGGGGTAAAAATCTACAACCTTTACACCTCCCACATTTATAAAAACCCTTTGTAATTGAAGTGTCATTTTTTTGGGTCCTAAAAGTCCTAGGGGCCAGATGTTTTTTAAGACTCTTGCTTTTAAAAAAAATCATTTTGGGTATTGGTGAGATTTGTTTTTTTAAAAAATCATCGGCAAGTAAAAGGGGCCAGAGTTTTTGTAAAATTTTTTGAATTTTAAAAGCATGGGCATTGTATTGTGTGACAAAGGAAAGGGTGAAATCATTGTTTGTATTATTTTTATTTTTGTTAATAAGAAGATCATTTCTGCTGATATTTACTATTTAAAGGAAACGTTTCGCCTCTTAGGAGACAGAGACACTTGTGTAAAGTTAAAAGAAAATCCTAATACAGATTTTAATCAAAAATTAAAAGTGTTTTTCTCTTATTATAAAAGCTTACATATCCTCAACGATAAATTATTTTCATTCCTGTATTTAGATTTTCCTAGGATTCCCACCTTATATTTTTTGCCCAAAGACATAAGTCCACTTCTCAACCTCCAGGACGCTCCATTATTAGTGGCGTAGATTCACTGACATCCAGGCTGTCCGAATATGTAGATTCTTCCCTCCAAAAATATGCTCAAGGTGCAAAATCCTATTTTAAGGATACCAAACATCTTATCCAAGAATTAGATTGCATTGAATGGAGGGAAGACTACTTATGGGCAACCCTGGATGTCACTTCTTTGTATACGATTATCGACCATACCCTTGGCCTAAAGGCAGTGAAATTTGCTTTGGATTGCGATACCGATGTATCCTCTCTGTCTAGACAATTTATTTTGGAAAGTATCCAATTCATATTAACCCATAAAAGGCATCGCCATAGGTACCAAGTTCGCGCCGAGCTATGCAAACATATTTATGGATAGTTGGGAAACTTCCAACATTTGGAACAATAATCCTTTCGGTGCGAACTTGGTACTCTGGCGGAGGTATATAGATGATATTTTAATAATTTGAAAAGGTTCTTTTACTTTATTACAAGAATTTTTAAAATTTGTAAATAAGAATAACCAATCATTAGTTTTTACTCCTCATTTTGACCCTTCAAGCATTAACTTTTTAGATTTAATGATTTATGTTGAAAATTCAATAATAAAGACTAAGACATTTTTTAAGCCTACAGATTCTAATTCTTTTATTAATATTAAATAGTGCACACCATCCTAATTGGCTTCAGGGGGTTCCCAGAAGCCAATTCACAAGAATTAGGAGGAAGAGCACAGAAGAAAAAAGCTTTTTAGATCAAACCAAAATTTTAAAAAATAAATTTATAGAAAAGGGATACTCCTCCAAGCTTTTAGATCAAGAAATTGTTAGGTGCAAAAATATCAGCAGAAATTATCTTCTTATTAACCAAAATAAAAATAATACAAACAATGATTTCACCCTTTCCTTTGTGACACAATACAATGCCCATGCTTTTAAAATAAATTTTTTTTTTTTACAAAAACACTGGCCGATTTTACTTGCCGATGATTTTTAAAAAAAACAAATCCCACCAATACCCAAAATGATTTTTTTTTAAAGCGTCTTAAAAACCATCTGGCCCCTAGGACTTTTAGGACCAAAAAAATTGACACTTCAATTACAAAGGGTTTTCATAAATGTGGGAGGTGTAAAGGTTGTAGATTTTTACCAAAAGAAAACACAGCATTTTATTAGTCATAAAACAGGCGAATCATTTAGAATTAATGAACACATTGGTTGTAACACAACTAATGTAGTTTATCTTTTAACTTGCGGTTGCGGGATTCAGTATGTGGAGAGGACCAGCAGAGCACTAAAAACCAGGTTCATGGAACACTGCAATAACATAAAGAAAAATCTGACCACCCACTCTGTGCCGATCCACTGCAACAATTGTCCGGATTTTAAATTTGAAACCTGTTTATGCACCGGTTTATAGAAGGTCACCGTAGACGATAGAGGTGGTGATGTAATTAAGAAGCTTAGACAAAGGGAGGGGTTTGGATTTTTAACTTAAAAACTTTTAGCCCGTCTGGACTGAACATTAATTTTGATATGGTGTGTTTTTTTATAAGTGTTGATTAGTTTTATTATTCACAATCTTGTATAATTATTTATAATATATTTTTAAAATACAATTTTTAAATTAATTCTCTTTTTTGATCACACCTTATATCTATATACATTTTTTGTCTTTTGGGATTTTTCTTGTTTTTTCTTGTGCCTTTTACTGTGGATTGAGACTATATATGAGTCTTTTATGTGTCCTTTCCAAGATTGATTTCCTAACAACAATACCTTTTACTAGTGGTCTTTTATATAATTATAATTTTAGCTATTTAGATCTTTTATGTAACCAGTTTTTTGTTATTACGTTCTGCTATTATGGGGTTTAAGTTTCTGATTATTATTTTGTCTTATGTTTTTTTATTCATTTTATTACTATGGACTTGGACTTCCGGGTTGTTACGCCTGTGGCAAGTTGCGTTCCACACAATATCGGAACTATTTACTACTGGAACGCATGTTCGAAAACGAAGCTTGGAACCCGGAAGCCCCATGTAAGCAGACACGGACACTATTATGGAGATTCTACACGATTACCTTCTACCATTTAAAAAGCGGACTTAGGAGAGTACACTTCATACCTTTATTTCCCCCGAGGAAGTCCCCATTTAGGACGAAACGCGTCGGGTGGAGAGACCAAGACTACACCTATTACTTGATTTTATTGTTTCTGGCTTTATATATATATATATTTTTTTGTTTTGTGTATTATTTGTATTTTTAAGTTTTATTTTATTTTATTTTGTTCCTGCTGCATCAAATTTTCACACCCAGGAAGAGTGCCACTGGAGCTGGGCTCACCTGAGATCTTTTGATACGCTGGAATTTTACCTCATATCTTGTGTGTGCAACTTGAATAAATTTCTTTGTCATCTTTTTACACTGGTGCACTATGTCCTTTGTGTCTCTCCCTCTAAATTAAGGTTTAAAAAGAAGAGAATTGATCTTCATTGAATTTTAAAGAAACCTCTTGATGTCTGCAATTTAATCCCATCTTGTGAGTGCATTACATATTTGCGCACTTTACGGTGTTTCAAACATTCTACACCATCCTTTTGTTTTATTTACCTTTCTTGTAGATTGTATTTCTGCATATCCTATTAGAAGACTGAAGGGATCTTCTTACAATCTCATCTGGGGTAAATTTATTTTACATTTGTTTACCCACTGGGGAGCACGTGTGTTATATTATATTCTATATTTTCCTGTATGGTAAACACAGAAAAGCAGTCACCGGACGCGTGTCGTAACTACATGTCTCCCTGGGCGTCCACACCTTGTCATGCAGACTGCCTGGCTTCCTGCAGCTCAGCTCACTGGCCAATGTTGTCAGTGTCTGACACTTGTTAGTGAGCCAATGATACTGCAGTCACACTGTGGGCACCAACACAACATACTCAGATAGATCGACAAAATACATGTGACACTCCTTCCCACACAGGCTGTTCCTTGACACCTCTTTCTCACTCCTCTACCACAAAAAGCAATGCTGAGAATCATGGGAGTTATAGTTTATTAGAGCTTACACGATGCCGTTAGAAAATGCAAGCTCAGAAAACCCAGTGTCAAGGGAACACTATAAGCACCAAACCAACTCTAGAGAAATCTATGTTTTACTTTTCCTTTATTGCACAGTCTGTTCAATTTAGAACTTCTTATCTCCTGCCCAGTTAATAGCTTGCTAGAACCTGTACGAGCCTCCTGTGTGTGATTAAAGTTGAATTTACAGAGCAGCAGAAATTTTTTTTCTAAATTAAAAACACTGTGCTGATTGATAATGAAAACTTTTTTTTAATGCAGGCTGTGTCTGTCACAACCAGGGTAGGTGTGGTTATTTCTGCCTTAGACAAGGCAAAGGTAATTAAACTCCTAAATGGCAGATAATTGAGAAGTGAGACTGCAAGGGCTTGATAATATATATTTACTAAAACTGCTTGTAAAGTAGATGTGGTGCTTA